CATGACAGCCTTTAAGAAAGCACATTTCATATAACTTCTCTCCTGAGATTAGTATTCCACAGGCCCTTGTAACTCAGAATGTGGTCCGTCACCCAGGAATTTGTTAGAAATGCAGGATCTCAGACAACGCCAGACCTGCTGAGTCAGAATTTGTATTTTAAACAAGAGTTCCAGGTGATTTGCCTCCACTGCAGTTTGGGAAGCACCATGAGAGACTTCAATGATGTCCTGTGGTCTTAGTTTGGCAAAAGCAGTGATGTACAGGCAATGAATCTGTCTGGAGCCCCTGAAGCCCCGGGACAGCCTGCGGGATATCCACAGTTTCGAAATGGCTCTGAGCTCCTCAAACCTGAGGCAGCTGCTATCAACTCCATGAGTCTCACTGTTTCATCTCTCAGCTTTGGGTCAAGGTACTTGTTAGATGTCACATTGACTGAGACAAGTCTGTGGCAGGCTTCCTTGTCCTGTGCTTCTGCAGAAGGTCTCCTGCTAGAGTGTGTCCCCTGATGCTGCACACCTCTATGTCTTACTGCTGCCTTCCTTGGCAAGTTACATATGAATCTATAGGCAAGATGAGAGGGGACCTCCAGGAGACCCAACACAACTTGCCAGACCCTGCAGGAACAGCTGTGTGGGCAAAACATCTGTCAGTCATTTTCAATCACAGAAACTCATCTGGTCTCCTACCTTACACAGTCAAAGCATCAGTTGAATTAGGTTGTATTGGTTGTAAATAGTAATCGATTGGATCAGTTCCATTTGCTTTTTACTTTATGATTTATCTGCAGTAGCAAATTGGAGGAGGTACTAGGCAGTAGAGAAGATCTTGTTCTCTGGAATCATATTTCATGGGTTGGGATCCAGACTTACAAGGTCCTAACTGAAAAACTTCAGTCAAGCTTAACTTCTCCAAGCCTCAGTTTCCTCACTATAAAATGAAGATTAATATGGTATCTACCTTCCAGGTTTGTTGTGTGGGTCATGTGAACTACTGAGATTTGTTCTTGGCACATTGGAAGCATGATATAATAAAAAATTAAAATATATTAATAGATACACACATGTTATAATTTACTACTACTGTATCATAATTTGGATTAAAATCAAAATCATGTTACAGAAATCTAAAAATGAGGAAAGAAATCTAAATATTGACAGGGTTTTTCAGCTTTGTTTCTTCCATGGGGAATAGGTAAACTAATGGTCAGTTTTATTAAAGCAAAGCAGACAATTTGAGCATATACACATTTAATAAGCATATACTGAGTGTCAAGTAAGAGATGTATGCAAGGCACTTGGGGACTACAGTAATGAAGTTCCTGCTGTGTGATTTAGTAGAGGAGAAAGACAAAGGCACAAATATCTTCATTAAAAGACCAATGGAGAGGGGTTGGGGTTGTGGCTCAGAGGTAGAGTGCTTGCCTAGCACGTGCAAGACCCCGAGTTCAATATTTAGCACCACATAAAAATAAAAAAATAAAATAAGGGTATTGTGTTCAACTACAGTGAAAAAATAAATTTTTTTTTTTTTTTAAAAAAAGACCAATGGAGGAAGTGCCATAATATGTCCTATGAAAGCAGAAAAGCCCACAATAATAATGGGTAAGTGTGCCAGGAATTACATAGGTACTTGAACATTCATTATTCCTTTTGATATTCAAAGCAAGCCTTTGATGGCAGAATAAATCATTCTCATTTTGAAAATCACTAGATGGAGCTTTACAGATATTAAGAAAATTGCTGAGTTCTCATAGATGGTAAGTGAAAGAGTTGGGATTTGAACTCAAGTTTGGCTTTCTCTGTTGCACTTAAGTTGAATGCAAAGAATAACAAACACTTCATGGAGAAGGTAACATTTCAATTTAGCCTTGAAAGAGACTTCGGGTCTTCCGGCAGAATTGGGGATCAGGCAAGGGGTTGTGGGGAGCTGAATAGCAGTGCTGGCCCAAGGCAGTGGTGGACAAGGCTGGCAGAAGTCACCAGAGGCCTGTAGAGGTGAAAGAATTGTGAGACTGACAGATGGGAGAGTGAGGGGGGCCACATGGCGGCAGATCTTGAGGAAGAGATTGAAGAGGGGATGCAGAGGATGCTGTGTAGCCCCAGGTGAAGGCACCAAAATCTAAAACACAAAATCAGACCCAACAATCTCCCTGTGCTTGCAGAGTCAAACAAATCTGGCACAAGCCTGGCCCTCAAGGGCCAGTTTTCAAAATTGAAAGGCAATGGTGTCCACATGAAATATGGGTCCAAAGCTGGAGTCACGGAGATCTACTCCGAGTCCTGGTGGGGATGAGGTTGAGGGGACAGAATAAAAAAATTGGCAGAGGGGCAGAGTCAGATGTATAGTTAGCAAATCAAAAAATTTGCCTATAAATTACTAAACAGCTAGATTTTAAATCCTTAAAAATTGCTTGCAGCAGGGAAAAGAGACACATGAACTAGGCATTATCCATAGGTCTGCTTCTGAAGCTTCTAAAATTCAAACAGACAGAATTACTTTCTGCATTTCTTGTGATTTCATTGCATGTAGCCTCACTGCCCACCAGAGCTGCCAGAGCGGGGAGGGCCCAGTGCAGTCAGGATGGTTAAATAAAAACAGTTCTATTTTGGGCACGCTTTAATGACAACCCCATCTTAGAAATATTTTTCCTGTGATGCCTTTTCTGTTCAGTGTCATTGAAAGTGTTTTTAATTTCAAAGAGAGGTTAGGGCACGGGATGTTAATCAATGGAATTCTGGCATGCTTTTCTATGAATGTGACTCATTTTTTATGTTTACCAGTGACAGAGATGAGCTGTTCAACCCAGGCAATATTGTCATTCATGCCTGGTTAATAAAGGAAGAAACAAATGCCTTAGGAAACTCGTCCTGACGTTAGAGGGAGGGAGGAGGACCTATTTTAGGGCTTTAGGATATTTCATTGTCCCCAGGCTGTTCCTGTGAGTCACACACAGGACAGAAATGTGAGGCAGAAAAGGCAAGAGAGCAGAGTCATCCAGACTAAAAAATAAGTTGGGGCTGCAATAGTGGATAATGGTATTTATGTATTCCTCGCTTGCTGGTTTCTGCCTTGCCTTCTGTTATGTATGCAGGGGGTGCAGCCTGAAATGCCTGCATTTTTGTTCCTCTAAATTCCTGTCCCTGGACACTGCCAGGATTTAGGGTGGGGTCAGCCCAGGGCCATTTTAGCCCCAATAAAGGTCTGTTTTATTAAAGGACTGCTGGTTGCTTGCCTGTTTACTGCTGCCTAATACAACACTTTCTTTATCTCTTTTTGGCTCTGTCCCAAAGAAAGCAGGGAGACTTGCTGCTGCTTGGATCCCAGTTTCCATCTCCAGTCTGGTCTTAAGGGGTTTAAGGGCTTGAAGTGAGGAAACACGGGAGCACAGCATTTAGGATGACATTCAGACTAGTTTGCATCCCAATTATTATGAACTACGGTAAAGACACTCTGACCTCCCCCTTGGAGCAGTTTCTTCCACATTTTGAGGAGGAGTTATATATGCCCTGTCATTCATGTGCTCCTCCTTCCTTCCAGTGACAAGGTCCACGTTAGAGTTGACTGGGTGAGAAGTGAAGACTGTGTACATGGAAGGGTGGTTCCCTGGGAAAACTAACTGGCAACTTCTTCCTGTGTTCTCATTAACTTCTCTGGTCCTGATAGTTGCCAAGCTAATAGCCTGGATCAAGGATAAGGCTCAGGAGGATCAGCTTCCTGAGTGTGTGACCACTGCAGTTGCAAGGGCTCTGCACTTAAAAGGGTCATGGCCTTTGTTTAATGAACTGCTGTCATTGGCTTGAAATTTTTTAACATTTTTAAACAAGGGATCCACATTTTGTTTTATACTAGGCTCTGCAAATTATGCAACTGGTCCTGTTTATAAGACCATACCTTTGAGCATTCTTGACTAAGTCAATCAACTGTGAAGATAAATCATCTTTTAGGCTCCCCCAGTGGTGTGCCAGTTCTCAGGGATTAAAGGATGCATAATGGGGCAAATGACAAGTGGGCATGCCTGCTGAATCCTGAGATCTGTCTACAGTGCAGGAATTGAGCTTGTCTATTACATGAAAAGGCAAAATGTGGTGTAGCTGTGAACATGACCACCCTGGCAGAGCCAGAGTGCTTAGAGAAGAGGGTGACTGGCAGTGGCAGGTGTGGCCATGAGGTCAAGGAAGAGGAGTTTGAAGAGGCTTACAAATACGCCCTTGAAGATGTAATTGGAGACCTAGAGAAGCTGTAGATGACTGAAAGCTGGCTGAAACTAAGGAGAGAATTCCAAAAGTGAAATTGGAGATAGAGAACATGTCGGGGGATAGATAGAGTGGAAGAGAGTTGGTGAGGGCTGAATGTTTGTGGATAGATGGCCTGTGACTGTCTGGTGGTCACTGGAAGGCAGGGAGAGCAGAAGGAAGGGGTGAGGAAGGTGAGGGAGGCTGCAAAGGGGAGAATAGAACAGGGAATGGGTACTATATAAGATCTAGCACACATCTAATAGTCTCCACGCTGCCACCTCCACCTCCCTGACAGGCCAGAATCCAGGCTGTGAAGGAGTAAAGCAGAAGGAAGGGGTTAAACTAGGTTTCTGAAAATCTAGACTGGGAACATGGGTAGCAGACTTACTTTGTGGGGATTATTGTAAATATATTTTCTGGATCCTAGACCTCACCATCAGAATCCCTCAGGGCCCTGGAGGTGGAAGAGCAGGAATCTACCCTTAAAACCGGCGTTCTCAGGTAATCTTGATGATATTAAACATTTTAAAACTGGAGGATGGAGAAATACAGCCAGTGGGGACAGCTCAGGCAAAATTTGGAGACCTGAATGCATGGTAAAGTGAGACAGCAGTTGGATAAGGAAAGGAGTGTTGTGGGTCCAGGTCCTCTAGATGCCCAACTGGTCTGAGATGATTGCAGTGCAATCTGTCCCAAAAGCAAAGTGTCTGTTACCAAAGTCCCCAAAGGAGCCTCCTGTCAACCAACTTCCCACCACACCTTACCTTGTTGGGAGAAATTGTCTCCTGTAATCACAGGAAACTAGAACATTTTCAGTGAAGATGATGCTCCTTGCAGTAGTTTGGATCTTGACTGTCCCCCAAAGGCTTGTGTGTTATAGTCATGGTTCCCAGCCCATAGAGTTCCTGGGGGATGGTGAACCTTCAAGAGGTGGAGCCTAGTGGGAGGAAGTTAGGTCATGCCTTAGGAGGAGATATTGGGACTCAGACCCTTCCTGCTGCTTAAGTTTACTTTCCAGTCACCATGAGGTAAGCATCTTCTTTTGCCACATGCTCCCACAATGATGAACTGCCTCACCACAAGCCCCAAAGCAACAGAGCCTACTGACCATGAACCGAAATCTCTGAAACCATGAGCCAAAATAAATCTTTCTCCTGACAAGTGATTATCTCAGGTATTTTGTCACGGTGACGGAAAGCTGACTCACACACTCCTAAAAATTCTATTCTGGTGTATCTTGCTTATGCTTAGAGGCAGTCAGTCTGAAGAAGTTCGAAATAACTCTGACCTTTTGAGGGAGGGTTCTTAAATCAAAATGGAAGACTCATGAGGTGGCTTTATAGAGTGTGCCCAGACCTTGGCTTAGCTCTCCAGTCAAACACATTCTCTGGTCACTTCTTCCTCTTGTATGTACTGTCCTCACTTAGGTATACAGGGTATTTACAGGCCTAGGCTTAGGCAAAATTCTTCTGGGAATTGGACCCAGGGCCTTGTACTTGCTAGGCAAGTGCTCCACCACTGAGCTATATCCCCAGCTGTAGGCAAAATTCTTTATTGTTCTTGGTCCAGCCTTTCAGTCCTAGATAAACTTGATCTCTTCTTAGTCCACAGATTCTGCCAAAGTGAATAGTCTGATAAGACTTCTATTTCTCTAGCTTCCAGATTCTCTTTCGAATCTTTGTTAACTAATTCCTGTTTGATATTTCTCTGATGATTTCTTTCAGAGAAGACTAGTTTTGTCTTAGCTGTCTGGTCTCTAGAGAACTTCTTGATGCACCAATCATTTCACAGTTCCTGAATATTCAGACACAATCCTTTCCAAACTTCAGCGTGTAGACAAATCACTTGGGAATGCACATTTTCATTCAGTGAGTATGGGTTAGGACCTGAGAAACTGCTTTTCTAACAACCTCCCTGGTGATGCCAGTATGACTGTTCCATGGGCCACACAATGAGCAGCGAGCTTTTATAGGAAGAGTAGATCACAATTCTTTTCCATATCGAGCTCTGCCCACTCCAGTTTTTGAGCCTCTATCATTCTCCTTTACATACAGGAACAGAAAAATAGTCTATCTTCAGTTAACCTTGTTTTCCTGCTTTTAGTCAGAATTGATCTCTCCAAATCAATTTCAAATTGCTAATGAGCTGAGATGGGGCATTGGTATCCTCCTACACAGTTTTCCAGGATTTTCTTTGCATTATCTTCTTAAGACTTTATTGAAAATGTCTTATACACAAGGCATATGGCATTATATAGAGAGAAGAACAGTGAGCTGTACCAAGCAGATAACAAGCAGGCTTCCTCCAACATTGGAGAACATGGCAGAGAAGTTTCCAAAGGTTGGCCTTAGAAAGGCCCCACATCTATGCCTCCATACCATTGGCCAAATTAAGCCCTTTGCCACAGCTCTCCCACCCAAATCTCAACTTTCCTCCTGCCTGCTTAGCAATTGTTAAGTGAAAAGGAGCCAAGAATCCCTGACTTTGAAAGAAAATCATATATTTTTTTCCATTTGTGTAAAGGATTTGAACACAACACTTATTGCTTATACCATTTACATTTCAAATGCAAATTTCTTTATTTTTATACTAGGTGGGTGAATTGAGTGAATTAGCTCTCTAAATATGAAGTTTCAGAATTATAACAAATGTTTTACACTAGTAATATTGGAGGATAGGAAAAATGGTTAATATTCAACGTACATCCTCGGTTTCTCCTGACAGCAAACCCTGCTGCTTATTCCTCATGTTCCCCCCTTCAAACCACTGCTCAATTCCCCTTCCTTTCACAGACAAAGTTTTAGAATGATCTATACTTATTCAGAGGCATCTTTATCCCCACTCTCTCCTTAAGTGTCTGAAGTGGAATTCTATTTTCACAACTTTACTGAAATTGCACTTTTAAGGACATCAGCAGTCTCTAAGTCACTGGATCAAATGGCTCCTCAGTCTCGATTTGCTTTCCCTCTCTAAAGCCAGGATGCTATTAACCTCACCTTCTCCCCTGGCTCCCTGACGGGTGGAGTCTGCTGACTCACCACCTGCCACATCATGTCTAGGCCTTCTTTGCTATTTCCTTTTCCTCCTTCCCCCTCTACTGCACACACCAAGACAAGTACCGATGTTCAGGGCCATTGTTTGTCTATTCTCTTTGCCTTGGGATCTCATCTATTTTACTGGGCTTTAACTATCAGCACAGGTAAATGTTCACCAAATCCACAGCCTCTGATGCTGACCTCTCTGCAGCTCTACCTCCCCTCTTTAATTGCCTGCTCTACTTCCAGGGTCACCTTCAAACTTCCCTCTGCCCAGTTTCTCTATTGTAGCCAATAATAATTTTCAACCCTGAACTCAAAGTGATTAAGAAATATTATTTTTCTTTAAATCAATATGAATCTGACTCTAGAATCCTTTCCCCCTAAGCTGACAGGAGTTAAATTTCACCCACTGTAGAGGCTAAGCCCTGCCCATCAAAGGTTATGCTAAGATACCCATGAGGTTAAGCAGTGCCAAAGCATTAAGGAAGATTCAAGTTGCCAACAAGATGTTCCTTGCCCCAACTCATGGGCTTCCTTAAGATCAACCCCCTTTGCTACTTCCATGTCACACTTGAGATCTGGAGTGTTTTGGAAATTTAAAAAAGTAGTTTTAATTCTTCCTAGCCTTCCTTTTCCTTATCTTTCTGAAGAATTCTATCCAAAAGGCATCACAAAGTGTAGAGCAAATTTGGTATCTGTGTTAAGGAGAAGAGAAATGAGAGCCTTTGTATTTCCCCAGAGCAAGATGTCAAAGGTCAGGGAGGACAACATGTGCATTGCATAGGAGGGAGCCCAGTGTGGGGACTGGCATGAAAACACAGGGTTCAGGAGGCTTAAGGAAGGTGTTCACAACGGTACTGTGGTTGGTATCAGAGCTCATGGTTTGTATATGTATTGTATGAAGATTTCCTAGCTTAGCCCACTGAGAGGGCCTGAGAGCTGCAACATTCCAACAGAAGTGAGCAACTACAATGCTCAGATCTTGGCTTCTGAACACCATTCTGCACTAAAATGAATGAGACCAACCCACAAACTAGCAACAGGAGGGAACTTCCTCCACCTTAAAGGGGCGTCTACAAAAACTACAGCTTACATATTGTTAATGCTGAAAGACTAAATACCTTTTCCCATAAGATCAGGGACAAAGCAAGAGGTCCAATTGTTTTAGAGAGGTTTTTCCACTGCGGCAACTAAAAGACCTGACCAGAACCACTGTAGAGGAGGAAAAGCTTATTTGAGGGCTCATGGTTTCAGAGGTCTCAATCCATAGACAGCAGGCTCCATTCCTCAGGGTTCCATGCGAGGATAAACATCATGGCCAGAGAGTGGTGGAGGTAAGCAGCTCACATGATTATCAGGAAGCAGAGAGAGAAACTCCACTGGCCAGATAAAAATATATACCCCAAAGCCACACCTGAGATGCCCCACCTCCTCCAGCCACACCCCACCTGCCTCCAGTCACCACGCAATTAATCCCATCAGGGATAATTAACTGATTGGGTTAAGGCTCTCACAACCTGATTGTTTCTCCTTTGAACTCTCTCACATTGTCTCTTTGGGGGGACACCACATCTAACTTTCACAACAAATTGTACTGGTAATTCTAGCCTGTGCGAAATACAGGAAAAAGAAATAGCACCTAAATGAAGAAATGAAGATGTAAAAATCTACTAGAAGCAATAAGTGAATTAGCAAGGTGGCATAAAGAATTGGAAATTGAAATTCTAAAAATATTTTGAAATAGAATCCAACTATTTTCAATAATATGAGAAATTAGAAATTCTTAGAAATATATTTGACAACATATCTGCCAAATGTGTATATCAAAAATATAAAACACTGCTAAAAAATTAAAGAAGTCCTAAATAAAAACATCATGGAATGGATCATGGATCTGAAAACTCAATATTAGGAAGATGTCAGTTTTCTCCAAAATTTCAATAGATTCAAAGCAGTCCCAGTTGAAGTCAGAGATGACTTTTATTTTTGAAGAAACTGACTAAAATTCAAAGGGAAATGCTGAAAACTACCTTGAAAAAAAATAAAGTTGGAAGATTTACACAACCTGAACTCAAGATTTCTTTTAAAGTTGTAGGAATTAAGATAATGTGGTATTGGTATAAAGACAGAAAAATAAGTCTATGGAGCAGAATAGGAAATAAAGAAATATACCCATGGTGTTCAACAAATGTATAACAAGTGGTACTAGAACAATTGGATGTTCATATACCAAACAGAACAAATCCTCCAGTCCATAGTTTCCATCATAAACAAATAAATATTAACTAAAAACTGAATCATAGACTCAATGAAAAACCTGAAACTATAAAACTTACAGAAAAGAACAGGAAAAAAATCTTTGTCACCTCAAGTTAAGTTAAGATTTCTAATTTACAATGCTAAGAATACGTTCCCGAAAAGAACAAATTGATAAATTGGACTTTATCAAAATTAAGAACTGGTTGTTGAGCAACAGTAAACAAATGAAAAGAGAACCATAGGCTAGGAAAAAAATGTTCGGAAATTGCCTATTGATAAATGACTTCTGTCCAGAATGTATAAAATAAAATTTCAAATCTCAATCCAAAAGTCCATTGACAGGTAAATAGATAAATTGTGGCATATCCATACAATGGAATACTACCAAGCAATAAAAAAGAATGAACTATTGATACCAAAACAAAGATGATGTCAATATAATTATGCTGAATCAAAAGCCTAGCAAAAAGGCGCTCATACTATCTAATTCTTTTTATATACATTTCTATAAAAGGCATATAAATTTATAAGGACTGAAAACAGAGTGGAGAAAGAAGAGGGGAAAAGGTATAAAGGAATAAAGAGGAAATTTGGGGGAGTGATTGATATGGTCACTATCTTTACT